ACTTGTAATCTGTGAAAAAGCGAAAGATGAAGGATTAGGAAAGACATGATCACAAATATGAATAACTGTTACTGCCTTTTACTACTACTGTCCAGATAAACAGAGGTTGAAATGTAACCGCATGAAAGGGTGGGTTAGATGATTTTGAGAGAATGCTGGTGGCTTTCAATACTGTAAGTCATTCGATGTAGTGTTGATTTTAAAAAAGGGAAGAAGAAGGCGGCTGCCGAAAACAAGAGGGATTTTTATGTTGGTTTTACTCCCCTTGAGTAAAAAAGAGAGAGAGACAGAGACAGAGAGAGAATTTCAGTATGTTCTGAAGTGGCTGACGCTGCTGTCTGCTGTGCCAACAGTTTAGAAGGGGTGAAAAAAAGACTAATGTCGTTTCCTATCAGTATTAGATTACATGACTTAAAAAAATTCCCCACTGCATGCTATCAAGTGAGAAACAAACTCCTTTCCTGGGGGCAGTTATGTTTCGCTTCTTCAGCCCTATCTGTGCAAGTCATTTACTGGAAGGAGTCTTTTGCTTCAGGGCAGGATGATTCCTAGAACGTGCACGGAGCCTGGTAACCGCCAGGCCCGGAGACACCCTGCCCAGACTACAGAGTATCTGGCTTAAGTGGAAATCCGTTACTGCTCCAGCTAATTTAAAAACAGACAAATGAAACTTCGCAACTAAATGTACGTGACAACTTGAGATTTGGAAGGGCTTCATTAGGCACCCAGAAAGCCCAGTGATAGGCATGGTATAGGAGCCTGGATAACGCAGAATATTTCCAGAGGCAACTTTGTGCATTTGTAAGACTGAATAGAGCTTCGAGTTGTGCATGTTGCTGAGGGATATGAGGTGCTGATGTACGACTGTTATCTGCTTTTGAAAATTCAGTGTGCACTGAAAGAGGCCTGGTTGGGTTCCAGCTCTGAATAAGACACAGCTGTGTTGTGTTACTGGGCAGGATGAGCCGGAGACTCCTGAGGCCTGGATGGCTCAAAGCATCGGGTTTTGGATGTGTTGTTCTCTTCCTCCAGACTGTAAACCTCAAGTCTATCCTAGTCCAGCTGGGGCTAGTGGCATTAGCTGATACTCCTTAGACCTCTCAGCAGGAGAGCTAGTGATTGAAGAGACCGCTTAGGCTGTAGTCTGCTTGTTCCCAGAAGCAGCACATCTGGACTGGGACTGCATCCCTATTAGCAAGTACAGGGCATCCGAGCTTGTCCTGGAAGAAGGATTTTATCACCAGTGCTGTTCTATGCAAAAGCCTGGACAAAAAATGTGTTCTCACACCTTAATGACAAGGCTATATTACTTCATTCAGAAGCCACCGTCACAACGTATATATTCAGCACTATACTATTGCGGGGAGAGAAATGGCCTTTGCTTCAGAGAGCTCGCAGTGTGAGGGTTTGGCTACAGTCAGTCCTGAATTTGTTCTTCTGTCAGTCTGCCTGTTTGCACTTGTGCAAATATCTCAGCGTGTGTGTACTAGTTCAGTTGCAGCTTCTGCTCTCCCGCTAAAGTCACTGGTCATTGGTCTCTAAAATTTAACCTCTGAGGTTTTTTTGCTCAATGCTGAAAAAAATCACTTGGCATCTATCAGACTTCGCCTGAAGTAAAACTCTTGGTGCTGGCAAGCCACGAGACAAACCGTGCGAGATAAAGGCAATTGTAGGAAATGATCTCTTTTTCCCTGCTGTGAGCTAAGATGCAGGCATATTTCTGATGCTAGATTGACAGCATATGCCAGTGATAAAAGTTACTATTTGACTTGTACTCAATACGTTTTGTGCTCATCACCTTTGATATAAGGGAGATGATGGGAACGGGTCACCAGGGTGGGGAGAAGAGTAGGACTGAATTTTTTTGTCCGTGACTTCCTCCTACATCTATTACAGCCCAGTGAGAAATTGTATCCTGAGAACCAAGTTTACTGTTCCCTTAGATTGCAGTGCACCCTGAAGGATCTGCTCTCAAGAGTAACCAGGCACCTTTAAATGTCCTAGCAGCAACTAGAACAACTGATTGGATCATGTAATATTTGGATGTGATAAATTGACTTAATATTTTTCCATTTCTTATGCCATAGCACTTGTAACAGAAGGCACTGAGATAATTTTTTTTAAATCACATTTTCTATTGTTTTACATCCCTAGCTCTTACATTATGTTTATTATGCACGTACATAAATACCTATAAATACACACACACACACACACACACACACACACACACACAAATGTTTCTAACCACTGAATATTTAAGACTCAACTAGATCAGAACTTTCATAGTGAGACAAAGCTACTTTTTGATTAACTTGAATTACTCACTCAGTAGTCATTTTCACCAAAACTCATGGAAGTCACCAGTTCTGAGCTACAGAATGAGTAAGTTGCTAAAGAAATCTTTAGGAAACAGATGGTGTCTAGGCAGTCTTCCTCTGCTACCGAATCTTCATCCTGCTAGAGTTACTGGGTCTGTTTTGTATTTGAAAGAGAAATGTAATTCCTACAAGGGTTTTGGTGGAAACTCAAGTGTCTCGTTCTGAAGGAGGTTTGTGTTTATAGATCTGCTGCTTTAGCAACCGTATTAGATACACAAGCCATATCCTTGGATCGGAGTCTAATTGTAAATGCCAGACAGTTGGGACTTGGCATACTCTGTATTTGCTGCAGATGTTCCTCAAAATAATGCTCCTGGCTCCAGGTTTTCTGGGATTGTATTTGCCCATGGTCCCATATGCATCTGAACTGGTCTGATAGTTTCCTGCTGCTGAAAACGGATGCCTTGTACCCACTCCTCTGCTCAGTAACCCAGCAGTGAACCATCTATTCTGACTGCTGGATTGGTTTTCTCATGGGTTAGTAAGCTGAATCACAACGGGGAGGAATCCTATGAATATGGAAGGTAAGTGGTTGGGATTTGGAGGAAAGTGGTGTGTTGGGCGCTGGGACTTCTTTGGGGCAGCCTAAGATTTTCAGATAAGTTCCCTTCAATTTCATGCTTTCTGACCCTCGTGGTTGTGAGGAAAATTTTTGAAATATAAAACTAGTAAGCATTGATAAGATGCATTGTCTTCCTGATCCTGCCTGCAGCGTGAAACAAAACCTTTGGGAATGATGAACTGTTTCTTTTCACTCCCTGGGGACTTGTCAATTCTGAAACTCACAGAGGAAAATGGTAGTGTTAGCTATTTCACAACTGACCATTTTAGCAGCAGAACTGTCTGGTTTATGTATGTTAACTTCAAATTGACTTCTCCTGAAGTAAAGAGGCCCAGCTCCTCACCCAGAGGATACTGTAAAATCTACCAGCGCTCATGGGTTGCAAATGCAGAAACTCTGTTGCAGAGTTAATACCTTACCAACCTGAAGTCCACTGACTACAGTGGCAGACTTGGGAGCTGAAGGATGGTGAATTGATTGTATTTGCCCATTTAATTCAATGAGAGCTTTTATATCTTGAAAACAGAAGTGAAGCTATTACATAATTTCCAGTCTGTTGCTGTGGAGGATCGTAGAAGTCAAGAAGTCTTGACTCAGAATCGGGCCCAGCTTTCTATTTATAAGCAAAACCATGTAAACCACAGTCTACAATGAGACCCATGTCACTGGGGTGTCAAGCAAAGTCAAAATGGAAGATCAAAATGGATATTTGCAAAAGTAAGCTGCAGCACTAACAGCACAAGCCCTGACGCAAGCCAAAATGGATTTTCTTTTCCCTCCCTTTAGAGCTGTCAGGAATGAGCATTGGTGCCCCTCAGTGTGGTCAGGCTCTGCTGTGTGGAGTCCCTTTTGCTGTAGGCTAGCCTCCTGTGTAAGACAGCTGGGGCTTGGGGGGAAACATGCACTTGCCCCTCTACTGAGTCCATATAAAGCTTTTGGCTTAAATCACTGCTGCATCCCTTTTCAGCACTCCAACCTAACCAATATCTTCATGCTTTTTCTCCTTTGAAAGTCCGCTTTGTAGAGCGTTGCTAACAGCGGAAAAATGTTGTGTGTCTCTCTCATGCTTAGTCAAACAGAAAACTGGAGTGTGTGACATTTCTTTCATTGTCCCCAGGTCTCTATTTTTGCCTGTTTCATAATGAGGCAAGGAAATGGTTGTTTAGGTGTCGGAGTGTTACTGCTTGATAAAGACATCGCTAACTCTTGTGTGACAAAGCACTGTCTCACGCCGGCTGCCAGTGGCTGGAGTAGTTTGGCCACTACAGAAAGGGAAAGAACTCAGACTTGGGTGATTTGCAGAGCGCAGCCATATGCCTGCAACAGTCTCTCGGGTCACACTGGTCTTTATTATTGTAGTGATCTTCCAGTTGGCTGGGAACCCTGTTCATGCAGGTCTACCAATTATTTCTGCTTCATCTGGCCCTTTCTAGCGCTGGGCTTTCGTGGAGCAGCTCCAGAGGCTCCACAGCAACTGCCCAGCCTTGTTGTTGCGGAGGAGTCCCAGGGCAGCTCAGCTCTGCTCACGTGAGCCTCGTAGAGGGCTGAACCCCTGCTGGCGATGGCAGCGGAAATAC